GAGAGAGAGAGAGAGAGAGAGAGAGAGAGAGAGAGAGAGAGAGAAAGAAAGACAGAGAGAGGGCGAGAGAGAACGAGAGAGAGGAAGGAGAGATATTATGTCTATGTATAAGTCGTGATATATGTTGTTTTTACATTCAACGAAAATATTTATAATATTGCGGGGATAAGAAATGCCTGCAGTGCTCTGTTGAACTGCGTTAGAATGATTCATAAATTAAGTCATTGAACGCGGAAGAATGAAAGCGAAGAAAGAGTTAACGCGCGAACGAGAAACTTAGAGAATGGCGGTAAGGAGGTAGTCGGGAGAAGATTTAAGGATGGTAGGGCACACAAGGAGAAAAAAATGTGTGGAATTTGCGATTCTGTCAGAAGACATATCTGGAGAGAGAGAGAGAGAGAGAAAGAAAGACAGAGAGAGGGCGAGAGAGAACGAGAGAGAGGAAGGAGAGATATTATGTCTATGTATAAGTCGTGATATATGTTGTTTTTACATTCAACGAAAATATTTATAATATCGCGGGGATAAGAAATTCCTGCAGTCACTGGGGCTAGAATGGTTCATAAATTAAGTCCTTCCTAAGCGGAAGAATGAAAGCGTAGAAAAGAGTTAACGCACGAACGAGAAACTTAGAGAATGGCGGTTATGAAGGAGGTAGTCGGGAGAAGATTTAAGGATGGTAGGGCAAACAAGGAGAAAAAATGTGTGGAATTTGCGATTCTGTCAGAAGACATATCTGGAGAGAGAGAGAGAGAGAGAGAGAGAGAGAGAGAGAGAGAGAGAGAGAGAGAGAGAGAAAACTGTGCGAAACTAGGGGGATAGTAAGAGTTGGACAATGGTGCACTGTATAGGTGTGTGTATTCATTCATGTTTCCGAATTATCATATACCTATTAGCTAGTTGGTAAAGCGTCTTGGGGCATTACTATACTATACTGCTACCATTATACTGCCGATGCTGTTGCTGCCACAGCAGTATACTGTGTACAGCAAACGTACACATTATATTCGTTCTGAAATAAATCGTTTCCTTTATGTACGAGTAACTTTATGGGTGCGGTTAAATCTCGTGGCTCCGGATAGACTGGTCTTAACTCTCCCCCCGTAGCCGGGCCTTAAGCCACAACCTTGACTCTCAAAGATTATGGGGGGTGGCGGTCTAGCCTATAGATGGAAACCCGAGAGGTGAAAGATTGCAAGTGACATGCGAGAGTTGTGCTCATCGTTTCATTAAGAAGCGAGGTCCTTCTAAAACATCGCTCGTGATTGCTATAGAGTTATTCTCCTATTACAGAGAGATTATGTAGAGTCATTCTCAATTTCTGTGTAGGTACGACGCCTGTGCGCCTGTGCTAGGTTATGCACTAATATATATATTATACGTGCGTTATCTCTCCCAGTCGCTTAGACGTTGCTAACCGAGCGTGTTCCTCTCCTTCTCTTGCAGAACTCGCGAAAAATATCAAGTACACCTTCCGAGCGAGAGGCGTGCACAACTACACGCAGCTGACCTTTGACCTCCCGCGACGTCAGCTGCTCGTCGGCGCTCGCAACTTCCTCTTCCGGGTCAACCTGACGACCCTGGAGATCCACGAGAGCGCCGAGTGGTCGCCTAGCGACGAACAGACGCACATGTGCACGCAGAAGGGACAGACAGACGTAAGTAAACTACTAAGCTATGTGTGAACTTTAAGCTAGCAGCAGTTTTACTGGCTTAAATTTTAAATTGTAAGTTTACTGCCTACAAGAGTCAGTTTGCTGCCTACAAGTGTCAGTTTGTTGTCTACAAGGGTCAGTTTGCTGGACTTGCTGCCTACAAGGGTCACTTTGTTGCCTACAAGGGTCAGTTTGCTGCCTACAAGGGTCAGTTTGCTGCCTACAAGGGTCAGTTTGCTGCCTGCAAGGGTCAGTTTGCTGCCTACAAGGGTCAGTTTGCTGTCTACAATGGTCAGTTTGCTATCTACAAGGGTCAGTTTGCTGTCTACAATGGTCAGTTTGCTGTCTACAAGGGTCAGTTTGCTGCCTACAAGGGGCAGTTTGCTGCCTACAAGGGTTGCCTGCAGGCAACGCATTGTATGTAACTTGTAAAAATGTACCCCCTCCCCTTTCCCTTCTTTCCCCCTCCTTCCCCTCTCTCCCCTCCTTCCCCTCTCTCCCCTCCCTCCTCTCTCTCTCTCCCAGTTTGGGTTTCGTTGTGTCATATCGCTTGTACATCATGCTGTGGTGAACCATGCCATCCCCCCCCCCCGCACGCACTCTGCGCGCGCGAGAGGCCCCTTCTGGTCTCCGTCTCTTAGACTAGAGCTTAATTTGCACGAAGTGTATGCGCTGATAATTGCATTCCCTTGTGCTGTGACTGGAAGAGGAGAAGGGGGAGGCACATGCAAACGACGCGCTATTTATCTCTCTCTCTCTCTCTCTCTCTCTCTCTCTCTCTCTCTCTCTCTCTCTCTCTCTCTC